CCACAGCATACCACTAAGGGGCCAGCCAACCCCAATTCTGATTTCTTCCCTCCCTGCCCCATACACCATTTTTTACAAACTGTGGTTTGACATTAGCTTCATTAAAATTGACCAAAGCTTGTATTTATTATGGTGTGTTCCTACAGATGAGGCAATAAACCAGGTTTAACTAAAAGTGGATGGCAAAGCTTCCAAACTTTTTCTTTTGGTCACATGGGAGGAAATAGGAAGGGGAGCATGTTAGCCAGGAACATCATCTTAACGCATGAAAATAATGGTGAAAGTTGCTTTCCCATCTCGGCCTAATCCTAATTTGAACTATGGTTCACTGCCTGCATATCCAACACCCTGTTCAGGATTCACTTTGAAAAATTAGAAAATGAGATTTAAAAAAAAAGAAAGATGTGATTATATGTGTTAAATGCCCCTAGACAAGCAGTGAGGAACTTGTGCTCTCCAAAGATTGTATTTTGTAACATCTGAAGGATACGTATCCCACCTCCATTATAGAGAACAGTGGGATGGATTTTTTTGCTTCTGAATAATCTTTAAAAAAATTGAACACTGGGATGATAATCATGGAGCAATGAAATGTTACGGGCCGTTCAGTGGGTGCAGCGACATGAATTGCTATTTGTCTGTGTGAATGATTATGCTTTAGTAAGCTATATAAAGTAGCGTCCATATCAGACCAATTTGTCTGTACAGAAAGTGAACTAAGATGGGAAAATGTAGCCTTTTTTGTTCTGTTTTTGTTATTGTGGTAAGGCTTGCACTATCTTCATGTTCCTTATTTGTTCTTTACTAGAAACAATGAATTTGATTTCATTTCTGGCACACGCATGAGAAAGTTGGCTCGTGAAGGTGAAAATCCCCCTGATGGATTCATGGCACCAAAAGCATGGAAAGTGTTGACAGAATACTACACATCGCTGGGAAAAAATAATTAATTCTGCTGTTTCCGCAAAGTGCCTCTATTTTAAATACGAGCTCTGTTCATTGATCAATATGTTATGATGCTTCACCTAGTCTGAAATTTTTTGGTTGCTGGGCATTTTCTTTCTGGGCCAAATAATGGTTCTGGACCAATTTTTCCATTTTTAGTGTGTAAATAGGCAATTTCTTCTGAGTTTAAAAGGAATGCCATTAAACATGTTTTTCCTATATACATCAAAAAATAAGATCGAAATAATAAGAGTTCAAAGCCATATTCTTATAGGGATCCAAAGCCAGCTTTGTCAACCTTTGCCAAAAACGTTATTGAAACTATGCAATTATGCAAATTATCACATGCTCTATTTTTTCTTGATGCTATAAAGTGACTGCCTAGAAAAAGCAGGGGCTAAACTATGACTTTCCCATTGTGTTTTTTTGGCCTCAACATGACTTTTCATTGCCTGTTGTGGTGGAGGGAGGATTTCATGATATGTCATTTTTAGATGATGATGATGATGATAATAATGATGATGATGAAGAAGAAGAGGAGGAGGAGGAAGAGGAGGAGGAAGTTGTTAGTGTTGGTGTCATGAATAATCAACATTTCTTAACGAGAATTCCATGGCAGTTTTCTCTCCGAAACAGGTCACAAAGCTGTGCTGGTTCTAAGAAACTTCTTTATATATAGCCTTAATGGTCAACCTGGCCATGATGTTTTGTTCCGAAATGTACTTCCCCAACCTTGACATCAAGTTGCTTTATATCCTTGGCCAAATTCTTTCATGTAGGACATCCACAAGCACTTCTCCCTCAACCTGATGTTAATAACGTAACGACAGACTAAATGATTGCCCTTTCAGAGCTCCTCTCAGCCCTTCAAGGTAGACCAGACTAGGAAACCAAAGTCATGTAGGCCAGTGCTACTTTTATTGTAAAGATATAGTAACAGAATATTGCAAGTCTGAATGTGTTTTCCCCCTCCTTCTCTTTATCTTTGTGAGAACTAGAGAGGGTCTTGTCTGAGACTTTTCTCAGGTTACATTACTGCCTCAGACTCATCCCTCTTTTATCTGACTGTTGTCTTGGTAGCGGCTCTTCCTCCTGTCCCTCAAGGCCATTCCCTTTCCCCACTACTGCTCCCCAAGTCAGCACCCTGCCACGATCACCTTAGCTTACCCAATGGAAGGGCTGACTTTGACCGGAGAAGCTTCCCTGAGAGGCACGGACTCATTCCTAGCCATCTTCCAAGGGTGTCCACAGAAAGTGGCATCAAAAAAGTAAAGATGGCAGCTACAACCATGTGATTGAAGCTCCATCCTTTTTTACTGAATCAGTTTATCCAATGATAAATTGAACTTCTCTAGGTGAGTAAATCTGGTTGAAGGTGCCTTTAAAGAAAAAAAATGGCTAATAACTGGTTTAAAGGAGTGGTTCCTCCTATATTTCAGATTACTATTTGGCTGTTAAAGAGACCTAGAGAACATCTGCATTTCTTTCAAATGATTCATGTACACAATTGCCCGATAGCTTAGTATTTTTTCTGGCATCCGGTCTTATCATCATCTAAGAGAAGCTCTTAAATCTGGAAAAAAATTTCCAGAGGCACCATAAGGCAACTTCAATCTTGGAGTAAATACCCCAGGAAAACCTTTTGCATTTTGTCTTGAACTGAACATAATTCCTGTATTTTTAACCCATTTCTTCTTGATTAGGAGCAAATAAGCACCAACATAATCATGGCTGATGAATCCCAAATTATGTGCTTTGTTCCAGAATTTGCTCATAAGGGCAAAAAACATGTTTTAGCTGTATTTTCCCCCGTATATAACTGATTCAGTTAGAATTAACTGACACATTCCTTTTGCATCTTAATGCTTCAAACATGAATGCTAAATGTGGTTTAGGATAGTATACCCTTCTGATATTTCATTGTGTTTTTTTTAAAGATAAAATCTACAATCAGCTCCTTTTGCTATTGTGCTGCTATTTAGTGTGGTGTTCAGTGGCAAGGAGATAAACCAGAATAGCCCATCATGAAAATCACTAAGTGGGAAGACATAATGCACTTTGCTGCAGCTGCAACACACTGACTTGCCCACCTTACAAGGTTGTTGTAAGGATAATCTGTGAGCTTTGTGTAGTTCAAGGACTTTACATATGCTATTTTTCCACCGAGTCTGAGATGGCCCTGCTTTTGAGCATACTCCTGGGGCTCTTCTACCACTGGATGCAAATTTAGCTGCTGCTATGATTGAACAGGAGGATGCCTCTGAAACCCATGTCCAAAATCAAGGGCTATTTAAAACTCTGTTAGAATAAAACAACCTGGCCTCTGCTGGGTATTATCTACCAAGCAAGTGCAGCCGCTACCTGTATTTTCACAACTGGGGAATCGTTGCATTAAATGTCTTCAATGTATTATTTATTTTTCTAAGTTTTATGACGTACATCTTCATTTGGAAACACAATTCAAGGTGCTGTCTATACAACTTGGAATCAGTACAGCATCAAGCCAAGCATATTGATTATTAACAGTAGAACTGGAAAGAATAAAAATTATGCAATTTAAAATATATTAATTGGAAATCCACATGTGCTCTGGAACCTTCATCTGTCCATCCATCCATCTTTTGTGTATAAGTATTCATACTTTTGGAATTTCTTCCCACTGCCATTCCCACAATATGGAAAACTGATTCAGATCGTGGATTATAGGGCTTAGATTGGATTGTGGTCATAATTTGGGCATTTATATTAGCTACAAATATGTCAAGTTTCTTCTGGTCAATGGTTTTTCACCATTTTTGTCCAGAAACAAATTGGAAAATTGTTTTACTTATTTTTATGTAGCAATTATGCAACAGTCATTTTTATAGTCTAAAATATATATATTTGAAAATGCTTTTTAAAACATTTCCAGCATTTAACACTTTTGGAATCTTTGGGACCAAGAGAATGAAACGGGTTTCCTTTATTTTTTTCTCAGTTGAATGCAGTTGGTAAGCAGTATACATCCTGTAAATTGCATTGAACAGAATACAGATAGCCAGCATCATTGGTAGATCCCACATTGCTGACTAATCGATATTAGCACAGTGCCTTTTATATCCAAGACCTCTGGAAGGGACCTTGAAAGACATCTTCTTGCCTTTGTAATCTAAATGTTTATAGTGCCAATATATTTTTCCATGTTTTTAACCTTATAGAACTAGAGTCCAAATAAGTCCAAATATATATGTCATACTGTGCCTTTACCTCTTTTTACAAAAATATGTCCTATATTTTATAACGTATTTATTGCAGACTCGAAACCGACATGTATGCCTTAACTGTTGCATCTCTTGATGAAAATATCTTATCAGTTTGGCCTTCTATTACTAAAATTAATTTTGGTGACAATAAATATTTCACTGTTTAAATGTTTTCTGCCTTTTGTGTTTGTGCATGTGGATAAAGCCCAAAACTGATGTCTGCATATTGCCTATAATATTTAATGTCCCAATATACACTGAGCAGAGTACCATGCCACAGAAAGTCTACAATAGTTCTGCATGCTTTTAGTAAAGTTTTATCCAGAAAATATTGTCAGTACAACATCTCTAAGGAAAATGAATAGTCAGTTTGGCAGTGTACTCATGTAAAAAGCAAAAGATCCTTAGATGCTGTTGCTAGAAAAGCAGGAGGAAAGCAGTAGTTCTTTACAAAGTGAGTAAATATGTACTTGAGAGCCAGTTTGGTTTAGTGGTAAAGGCCCTGGGGTAGGAACCAGGAGACCGTGAGCTCTACTCCTGCCTTAGTCACTCTCTTGGAGCCCTAGGAAGGAGGCAAGGGCAAACCACTTCCAAACCTGCAGGGGCTTGTCCAGGCAATCACTAGGAGATAGGTGGGTAGGTAGCTGGGTAGATAGATATATACTCTCTCTCTCTCTGTGCGTGCGTGCGTGTGTGTATAATGACTAGTCATTATGGGTGTTGAAGTCTAAAAGATACAGGTTAGGGAAAGGTGTCTTAGAACAAGAATTTGGCTATCATAATCTTGAATTACAACTAAGATGAGTCCTAGCCAGCATGGCTAAAGGTGAGAGATGATGGGAGTTGCAATCCAATATCTGAGGCCCTGTAGAGTGCCTATTTCTCTTCTAGATAGAAAAAGCATACTGCCTTCAGCCAGGCATCTTCTCAGAAAATAAATGAAATTGAACACTAAAACTGAATTAATCATCAATAGGCTGGCTAGAGTTTTATTTTATTCATTTACATTTAGCCACTGCAGTGAGAATACATGTGGATGTACTTGATCCTAAAAACCATGGAAAAACAGATAGAAAATACACAATTGTAAATAGTTTGCTATGATCGTGTCACATTTATTGCTTCATTCTCTAGTTAATCAAGCTCAGCCTTATCAATGGATTTTCAGGTTTTAAGAAGGGATTCCTACAGTTTCCTACAGCTATTATTATTTTACATAGTAGCTGTGCTCTTTTATCTTATGATCAGAGGAGCTCCACATGCTGGTAACGGCAATAATAAAGCACAAACATACCTAATGACAAATATTGTTGCTTAGATTTCAGAGTCTCAAAACTTGATGGACAAAGCTTTCATGAGTAAAATAGGAACATTTTAACTTCAGGATGACACATAAACAGTGACAACCATAGCACTGTACAGATCACCCACTATAGACATGTAACTGCATTGTGTCTATGTTAGAACACTGAACAGCCCACCCTCACCCCAAAATCACACACTATAACAAGAAACTGGAACCCCACAGAGAGATCATGTATATTTGATGTTAACAAATCTATCCTCTCCACCTTTCAAAGTAGTTGCACACATTGGACCTTCACATGGAGTTCTAGCATAGCATGTTAACTGCAAGGTAAAAGGGGGAAGAAAGTCAGGAACCTATTCTTTCACAATATGAGAAGATTGCTGGCCAAGCCAATGATGGGAATGGAATTTAATTTCAGAGTAATGCCCAACAAGAAAAACAAATCTCAACTGTAAATATACTATGAATTGTTTGTAACTACTCAAGAACAATCATCTTGATTGTACAAAGAACCAACACTATGTAAGGACTTGTCTGAAAGCTGGAAGAGCTAAAAGCATAATTACAAGGCAAGAACCATAATGGCATTATAACATGACTTCATTATAAAGTTAGGCGCTCTGTTGAACTCATGGCTCTTAAAACAAGGGAGGAAGAAATAGTCAACTTTGGGAAGACTTCTGCTTTATTTGGAACAACTCTTCTCAACAACCTTCTGAACCCATCCTACCTTGCTTGGGAAAGATCCTTCACCCACTGGAGAAGTTGTAGGGGCCACAAGGGAGGAGCACCTCTGAGTATTAGAAAGACAGTTCTCAATTCTATAAATGCTAATAAACTAACTTTTTTACTATAAAACTATCTATAGCTATGTCCAGGGATAGCTATTGGAATTTAATTGCCAAAGAGGGACATAAAGATCTAAGTCTTACGACGATATAGCAATACATTTGGTAGAATAAATACCTAAAGAATAGTTGTGGAAATTACAAGATTGGTCAGATTTATTTCCTGTTAAACAAGTTGAGAGGAAATTAATTCAACATTTTCAGATGGTTCTTACCTCTCAGGTTTAAATTATGCCTACTAAATTAATGCATACTGCTGGAATAATGGGGTCCGAAGGCAAACAGGTTTGAGATTTTAAGTAATGTTTTAAATACAGTGACAAAAGACATCAGAAGTATTGACCAAGGTTCAAAAAGTCTTTTGAGGGCATCTCGTTATACATAAAGAGCATCTGCTGAAATTACCTGAGTTGCTACAATCTTTGGATCCTAACTATTGTCCCTAAAACAAACCTGGAAACAGCTGGAAGTTTAATTTTCCCCCTTGCAAATAAACCAAACCAAACGACCTTCAGGAATAGAAAAATGATAAAATTGTTTCACTTGGTGAGAGAGAAATCAAGCATGATTTATACTGCCATGAGTTTAAATGGGACTATTCTGAGTTTGTGAAATTATAATGTGAAATAATACATCTTAAAATGAGTACATTTGGTCACAAGAAGTAATATCTAGTTTTGCTGTTGTGGCAAAAGATTATTCATCACCATTCATAAACGTTTAGAACATGAGTTACAACAGAAACTCACTGTGTGACATTTATTTACAAGCCATAGAAAACACTGGAAAGATACAGCACTTCTATGAAGTGGTTAAAGTTATTAATTTTATACTTTGAGGTTTGGCTGAAATTAAGTAAATAAAATTTAAGACATGAACAACAAAGAATTACTATCAGAATACAGTAAAGCTTTTTGAAATGAAGTGCCTAATTGAAGACTATATAAATCAAGTACTTTATCACAATCTGCCTATGGACTTTGTCCCAGGATTTAATATTGCAAAAGAGATTTGTGTAAATGACTTTAAAAGGTCAACTTACTGATATCTCTAGCCGTATTTATACATATGGCTGAAATCCAGAGGAGGGTGCCCAGAAGCACAGATATTTTTCAAGTATTTTTTTCTTTTCAGAAATGCCTCCAATATGCATTAGGGGATCAGACAAGATCGATTTAGGAATAAAAGAGGGCAAATAGAATGGGATGAACCCCCCACCCCCCATGTTATCCATAATGCAAAAGCAATTTGATCATCACATATGCATTTACCCGCTCAGTTTTTAATCCCAAATATTCTGAATAGCCATTTGAAATGGGACTAAAATTCTAAGCTAAGCTGACTTGGTTAGATTTTTTAAAGAATTCTTTCTTCATGAAATCTGCTTTATTTTGGGGTTAACATAACTGTAAATTACGTTTTTCTTGGCCACAAATTTTCCATTTTGAAATTTGGATACACTCACTGAAAAAAAGTAAACCATTCTAGTTGGAGTATGATCTTTAAAGAGCATTTTTGTTCTATACCCCAAGAGAGGCTTAAAGTATACCTAGAATTAGTGCACATATATTAATTCAGGGGAAGAAAACAATAACAGTAAAGAATTTAAGAAAATAAATCTCATTATTCCAATCTTTCCCATTACGATTATTTCAATTCCTACTCTCCATGAGACCCATGTCTTATTAGAAAGAAATTAACTAAAATTGAAAGCCGCTGTCCTTGGTGTTATAATTTTTGTTGTATCCACTTAGAGTTGTTAGAAAGTTAAAAAGAAGGAAATTTAGCAATGACAGCTTTTATGTCCAGTAATTAAGGAAAAGACATTATTCACAATTCAGAAATAGAAAAATAAATATTAATGATATGTAGTTTCCAGTGTTCTTCCCACAATGGTAAGTTCTGATTATATAAAAAGGCATTAAAAAGAATACAATTTGTATAAAATGAAAAGATTCATGAGACTTGCACACATTTTATGTTTAAGTCATTGGCACCAGTGCATACTGTGAGTTGTGATGGAAAGGAAAAATGAGAATTTCTCTACATTACAGATTTCCTCCGCCCACAAAAAGCAAAGTTTCTGACTTTCCATTAAGGAACTACACAAGAGTAGGAAACTGTGTACTTAGTATTTTAATCTCGTGATCTACTTTGATCCAGATAGTAAGTAAAAAAGAAAAAAGAAAAAAAGGGGTTTTGTATTCAAGTTTTCTACATATTATGTCTATATAAAAACCTATGTGGATATACACTCACATCATATATACACACACATCATCTCATACATATATACATAGGCTCTGCTCTCCCTCCCAGAGAAACAATGTGCCATGCTAGAACCTACTCACAGATTTTTAAGGCTGCAACAAGGAAAGAGGACATTGGTTTGAGCAAGACTATATTCCTCCATGTCATGATCTATCACACGGACTGTATCCAATTCTGCAAGATTACTAGGTTTCAATAACTTAGGTATCAGCATATAAAAACAATTCCAAAAACAATCGTTAAAAGGATATTTTTGTTTCCAATTGATTTCTACTATTTAAATCACCAGTCACCAAAAGAAGCTATGGATAACCTTAATCTAAACTAACATGCATTAGAACACTTTGATTTGTTGCATCCTTTGATTTCCTCATCTTCTCAATTGCTCGATGCAAATCCTTTTGTTGCACTGGGCGAATTTCATCATCGTCATTGCTAAAAGAAGAAGAAAAAATATAAAAATGATTTAAGTACCTTTTAAAAACGTGAAATAGCACAAACAATAAAAGAGACAGAATACTGTGTATATAAGCATGAACTATTTGGGAATAATCTAGGTGTGAAAATTGCTTGAAATTCAAACCAAACCATCCCAAATTCTGAGTTTGAAAGAGTTTTCCTAAGTCCAAAATAATCATTCTCATCATTTTGGAGTCAATTTGACCATTTCAAAACTGTTCTGAGGTGTTTCAAAATAGAAATTTTTTAATTGGATGCTTGCAGACCACTAGAATCATGTTATCCCTGAATGACTCTCACCTAAGGTACTCTGAATTTCTCTGCAATGTCCTATGTGGAATTAATGTAGTTCTCACTTAGCCACATGCAACAAGACATACAAATTATTCATGAATTAAGAGCACAACCATCTTGCTACAGAAAGTAAAAAAACAGGAAGAAATTCCCTCCTGGTTCTTCCAAATAGTTCACACAATGTTTAGGCTACAAGAATCCATTTCTGTAAAAAGAATAGCAAAGTTGGCTCCCAGATATCAAGTCTTCTTAGGGAAAATCTCCGGAGCCTTAAGAAGAAGTACCTGTCTTCATATGCAGAATTCACATATTCTCTGACACACAGCAGTGCAGCATCGCGGCACATTTCTTTCAAGTCACTTCCTGAAAACCCATCAGTTTCTTTAGCAACTTCCAGAAGATCCACACGCCTGTCCACCTACCAGCAAAGAAAAAACAGCACATGCAAGGGCCATATAATTAACTTACAAAGGGTAGGGAATAGCTCAGACTGAAATAGAATCAAAGAATTTGTCATGCTTGATTTTGTAAAAAAAAAACCATTTATTTATAAGGACTTTGGTTTATCAGATACTTATTTATGGAAATTCAAAAACTGCCAGAGTGGCTATACTAATTATGAAATCTCGGTATACTATAGCTGAACATGACATTTTGGTTATTGATAATAACCACCTTATATTTTGGCAACTTTGATAGTGATAGTCAAATAGCTCTGACAAACTTTTATGGCCTAACTGGAGATAAACTAGATATTTTGCATAATTGTTCTGCAAGTCGTTTTCATTTACAGGGGAATCATATAATTGAAGTTGGGAATTTAATTTAGTTTTAAATCTATCAACTAATCTAAATAAAATTTCCAAGAAGAATCATTTACAGAGTTGGAGAGTTTCTCATGTGTATAGTTAATTTGGGAGATAATAAGGAGACATCTAAACTTAAAAAATATTCTTTCATTTTAACTTCTCATGGCACATTATTTTTAGTATCTCATTTTATAATTTGGTTGAGAACTGTTCTGTTTCCATATCAAATTATACTTGCCACCAGTCTGTGGTAAGAAATGTCAAAATGGTGCACAGTGCATTTTAATATGCCATTATTTGGCGATCTTCAATTTGTCGATTAACAAAAAAGAGATTTTTATATATTTTATCAATTAACAGATGATCAACAGACAGGTAGTCTGTGTTTAGCAATCACAATTGGGACCGGCAACACAGTTGTTAAGCGAAGCAGTCGCTAAGTAAAACCACAACTGTGCTTATGATCTTACTTTAGCTTTCCTTTGTTTTACAGACCTGCAAAGGTCGTAAATGCGAGGATTAGTCACAAAGTTACTGTCAGGTTCAGCCCAAAGAACTCCATGAGACAGTGCAATACAGTTCTGTTGCGTTTATTAGCTTCCACCTCAAGA